ATGTTAATTTCATCAAGTTAATGGTATAGCTCTGTCTCCTAATTGTCTGCTACTTATGGAAAACACGACCCTGGAGTGGAAAACTGCATCTGGGCTATAGAACTGTAAATAAGGGTCCTATAGACTTGGGTTTCCTTAGGCTATGATTTCTATAGAAGGGTTCTAGTTCAGGACGCTCCCATGTCCTACCAGTGAGGCTATTCTTTCCTGCATGTGGGTCATCATCCAGACACTCAGGAAGCTCTGGGACCAGCTGTATCAACAGTTACAAGCACTATTCTCTAGTCTCTCAGAAGAACAACATCTGAAGGCTCCTTGGTGGCCAAGTGAGTTTTGTCCTACACCTTCTGAGTGAACCTAATACCAAGTTTGGTCTCTATAAGTCAGTGAGCATGAACATTTGTTGTCAAGTGCCATCAAGTTGGTTCCTACTCATAGCGACCCTGTATAGGGTTTCCAAGGAGCAGCAGATAGGTTTGAACTTCTGACCTTGTGGTTAGCAGTCCAGTGTTTCTCCTACAGTGTCACCCCAGGATCTGAGAATGAACATTTAATTGATTTTAAAATGACCCCCTGGTGGGTGTTTCAATCACTTTGTTATGGAAAATAAATGAATTCCTATATGGAAAGTGCTTAACCAGTACCTGGCCAAAAATAGCTCAATAAATGCTCATTATTGGGGTCCCTGGGTGCTGCAGATGGTGAATGCACTCAGCTGCTAACTTAGAGATTTAGGATTCTAGTACACCCAGAAGCACCTTGAAGACAAGCCTAGGAATCTACTTCTGAAACATCAGCCTTCGCAAATCCCACAAAGCACAGTTGTACTCTGCCACACATGAGGTCGCCATGAGTTGAAATCGGTTCTTCATTACTGGTTCTTACTGTTGCCCATGGTCACAATCTAGGAATGTGAGTGTAGGGGACGTCTAATTCCAGATCGTGTGCCATTTTACAGTAGTACTTTGCTATGTAAAATTAACTTCTTATTTCCCCCTAGATGCCTGCTTTCAAAAAGAATTTTTATACCAATTATGTGTGGTTACTGCAGAACGAAGTGACTGTTTCCCTGCTCATGGATACCCATATTTATCAGCCTGACCTGAGTGTTTGTTCCCAAACCTATCAATTTAGGGATAAGTGCTATCGTCTGAGCTATTGGTGATAGACTCCCAGTGCAATAGGAGTTTCCCTCCTCTAGGAAAATGAAGTGAAACCTTCTAGAAAGAGTTCAGGAGGAAAAGACAAGTTTCTAAAGATTCTTTATCACGGGCGTGTGAGTGATAGCATGAGCTCAGATTGCCTCACTTCCCTTTAGTTCCTGTTCCACTCTAAAGACACGAAACTGGAACTCAGAGTAAGCGTGACATGGAACTCTCATCAACAGCCACAGACTCAGAATGACCTTGACTTTATATCAAGAGCATGGAAAAGGAAAGGTACATAAATGAGATGCTTGAAGTTCAAACAAAATGATTCTCTGTGTCTTATCGTTTTAATGAATGAGATAGGAAGGGTTTGCCTGTGAATCCACTACACAGGTCCAGGGACTATGAGCTATTTCTTATACACAAGGAAGAGCAACTAGTTTTATAGGTACTGGGATCAGAAAAGATACAGCGATGGGGACATTGGAACTGAATGGAAAGAGGTATGAGCAAAGGTATTCAAGACATAGAATAATATGAAGAAAAACATACAAGCACCAATGACCTGTTGAAAAATGTAAATAGAACAAGGGATTCAAAGCAGGGACTGGAAGCAACAGATGTCAAAGAATTAGCGTGCGGACCTCCAAGGCCTTATAAACCAGACAAGAGAAGGTAGACTCTCAGAGAAAACATAGAGCACACACAGGACTTTAAGGTTGGTTGCCGTGATGTGCTGTGGAGTTGGTTCCGACTCATACTGACCCTGAACAGGGTTCCCCAGGCTGCACATCTTTACAGGAGTAGAACGCCTCATCTTTCTCCTGCGGAACAGGTGGTAGTTTCGAACCGCTGATAAGGTTCACAACCTGATTTGTAACCACTACACTACCAGAGCTCAGTGAAATGTAATTGTGCATTTGCAAAAGATTATTATAGCAGTGGCAGGGAAAGTGATTTGAAGGTATAGAGAAGGAGAGAGTTGAAATGAATTACTGCACTAGTCCAAGCAAGAAAAGAGAGCCTGAGATTGAGACTGAGTAGAAGGAATAAAAATGAAAAGTGTTATGAAGGAAGGAAAAACAGGGCTTGGCTTCAAAAGTCCTTAACTAGAGGATCTAAGGAGAAGACAGGGTTACTCTTTGGTAACCTGATTTGGTAGCTCTATACATCATGAACTATTCTCCTAGCTTATTTTAAAGAAGTAAATGCAAGATTTGTATTGGTTATGAATCGGGCTGCTATCCTCAAGGTCAGTAGTTCGAAACTACCAGCTGCTGCACGGGAGAAAGATGAGGCTTTCTGCTCCCATAAAGATTTACAGCCTCAGAAACCCTGTACAGGGTCCCTATGAGTCGGAACCAACTCCGCGGAACATAACAACAACAACAATGAATCAATTTAGGTTTTGACCTTGAGGTGACTACATAACAGAAAGTAGAAATGTCCAATAATTAGTTCAATATTTGTCATGGATTGAATTGTATCCCCCCAAAATATGTGTTAACTTGGCTGGGCCACAATTCTCAGTGGTTTGCCAGTTATGGAATGGTGTAATCTTCCCCGTGAAGCAATCTGATATCATCAGCAAGGGGCTTAGGGTGTAATGCAATATCCTTTTTCAGGCCACAGCCCTAAGACCATGTAAGGGGAGCTTCCCTTTCATCTCACAAGAGATCAAAGGAGAGAGAAGTAAGGAGAGAAGGGGACCCGGCTACTCCCAAGAAGGAAGAGCCAAGAATAGAGCACATCATTTGGATTCTGGGTCCCTGCACTGAAAACCTTCTATACTCAGGAGAAGACTGGTGCCAAGACACACGGAGATCTCCAAGGGTTACCGAGCCCACAGACACTGCAAGGAGACAAGGCCATTCCCCTAGAACTGACGCCCTGAATTCCGAACTCTAGCCTCCTAAACTGTGACAGGATCCTTTCTGCTCGTTAAAGCAGAAATGTGGTATTTCTGTTATAGCATCACTAGGTCACTGGAGTTGAGGAGAAATGTGCTGAAGAGACTGAAGAGCAACTCAGCTGCTTTATGATTCTATCTGAAGCCACGGAAGTGGATGCAGGTTAGGTGAAGTGGGTGAAGAAGGGAAGCCTGAGTCACACCAACATGTCAGGGACAGTAAGATACGAAGAATACTGAGAAGGAAAGGGCTGCAAGACTGAGATGTCTCCAGGTTAGTGAGGCCACTGAACCTGGGAGAGGGAGGGGGAGGGCTTCAGGGAGAAGGTACAGGACAATCGTTCCACAGAACGTTTGGTAAGGTAGTCCATAAAACCAACAAATCAAACCCACTGCAGAGTCAATTCCAAACCCAGGAATTACAAAGTAGAATTGTTGCATAAGGTTTGCTTAACTATAATCTTTATGAAGCAGAGCTGCAGGCCTTTCTTTTAGGCTATGTCTGGGTGGCTTCAAAATACCAACCTTTAAGTTCGTAGTCCAGTGCAAACAGTTTGGGCCACCCAGGGACCTCAGAAAGATTCCACAAAATTTAGCAGTTTTTAAATTATCAGGACGTTTTGTCTGGGTAGTTTTTTGTTGACTGGTTGGTTTGGGGGTGTGGGGGGGGGGGGAGATAAACAGGAAGTCAACAGGGAATCAGAGTGTCCTATAAGTGTATACTACTGTTTTGGAAGAAGTGCAGCCAGAGTGCTCCTTGGAGGCCAAGATGGCTAAGCTTCGTCTGTCATACTTTGGACATATTGTCAGGAAGGAACAGTCCTGGAGAAGGATATCATGCTTGGTAAGATGGAGGGTCGGAGAAAAAGAGGAAGACCCCCAATGAGATGGATCGGCCAGGTGGCATTATTGATGGACTCAAGTGTGGCAGAGGTAGTGAGGTTGGCCCAGGATCGGGCAGTGTTTCATTCTGCTGTGCATGGGGTCACTATGAGTCGGTTCTGACTTGATGGCACCTGACAACGACAACAACAACTGTCAGATCCCAAATTCCAACATATGACATCCATTTCCACACAAGTTTCAAATCTTTAGGCGCCCTGGTGTTCATTCCTGCAACCCTCACCCCACCTCTCAGCATAAAATGTGTGCCTCCCTACTCCAACAAACCTGTAAGCTTTCAAAAATGTGAACTAATGATTACCCCTCTAAAGTTCTCCATTATGACCACAGGAAGGGCTAAGCATTGGGCTGCTAACCACAGATCAGGAGATTAAAACCCACCAACCGTTCTGAGGCAGTCTGTTCCTCGAAGATTTCGTTTCCAAATCTCTAAGGAGCGCTGGTATCCTAGTGGTTAAGAGTAGGGCTGTGAAGTCAAGGTTAGCAGTTCGAAACTACCAGCTGTACAAAGGGTGAGAAATTCTACTCCCAGAACTAGGAAACCCTATGCAAGGTCACTGTGAGTTGGAACCGACTCCACAGCACACAACCAACACCCTAAGGAGCAGACACAGGAGTCCTGGTGTGGCCCCATAGGATACGCACTCGACCTTAAAGTTGACTTGGTTCTAAAGTCGGCAGTTCAAACTCACCAGCTGCTCCTTGGAAGTCAGAAATGACAAGACACTTAACAATGAACAGTTATAGTCTGTTCTGTGTAGTATCAGAATCGACAAGATAGCAGTGTTTAGATTTAGTTTGTTGTTTTGTATTCCCAACTCTTCGTGCGTGCCTAACATGGTTTTGTAATTACTGTATCGGGGTCAAAACCAAAAAGAAGTCAGACCAAAACGTCAACAAACGCTGAGGGACTAGTAGCCCTCCCTTGCCACTACCACGAACAAAAAACTACAAGTCCCATGAGGCTATGGGGCAAAACTCCCAGCATTATCTGCGAAACTCAAAAGGTCACAGCGGTAGGCGCGGCATTAAGGGGCGATATGTTTCTGAAAATTGTGAAGATGCAGTCGTTAGGATTAGCAGTCTCAAAAGAGGAGCCTGAGGCTCAGCCTGAACAGCAGGATGTCGCGTGCGGCCTCGAGAACTTGCCTGTGAGTTCTTGGCCCCCGGAGGTGGAGCCAGCGCCTTTCCAGGTAGGGGCGGAGCTCGACCCCCAGAGCTGCGTTCGTGGATCTTGGGAACAGGGTGGAGGCGGGACTAGGGAGACGGAGACTAGAGTTACGCACAGCTCCGCACGTGTTTGTACGACTTGTAGGTTCCTTATCCGCTTGGCGGTTTCATACCCAATTACCTGTCATGTTGTCGGGAATAGATCTTCAGTGCACACGCTTCGATATTGTTCAGTTAATCAGCTTTATGGTTTTACCAAAGGTCTTTTCTGCCTGTAGAGTGGCAGTTACGTCAAAGGCAACCCTAAAGACTTCATAAGATTCCTTACAAAAAGCCCAGGTTCTGGCCCCAGAACTCAGAGGGACCTGGGGCAAATCACTTAGCTGTCTGGTCTCTGATTGCTCATAGGTAAGAAAAAGCCTGTGTCACGGTTAAGGGTTTATTCCTTAGAGTCAGACTGAGCTGAGGTCTCCCTTTTGCTGATTTCTTTGACAAATGGATTCGCTTCACTGAGCCTCGGATTCCTGCAGTGTACAATTAAATACTACCTCTCGGGATAAGGAGCTCTGGTAGCATAGTCGTTACAAATCGGGCTGCGAAACTCAAGATCAGCAGTTCGAAACTACCAGCTGTTTCACGGGAGAAAGATGAGGGTTTCTGCTCCCATAAAGATTTGCAGCCTCGGAAACCCGGTACAGGATCGCTCTGAGTCGGAACCGACTCCACAGCACATAACCACCACCGCCTCTCGGGACTGTTGTCAGAATTAACATAGAAGTTAAACACAGTGCCTCCTTCACTGTTCAAGTATAAGTGTTTCAAAGGTCCTTCAGCTCTAATTTTTTTCACCCCTTTCTCCTTGGCCTGAAAGTTGCCTAAGGAATGAAAATAATAATAACCTGTTCTAATGGAAAGAGCACTGAACCTGAAGGTTGGAGAGCTAAATTCAAGGTTTAGCCATCTTAACTGCTCCCCAGAAACAAATATCTTCATCTGCAAAATAGAAATTATAATTTAAAATTTTATAATCCTATAGCCAACATCGGATGGAGTTCTGGTGTGGCGCTGTAGGATAAGCATTGGACTGCTAACTGCAAGGTCGATAGTTCAAACCTACCAGCCACTCCTTGGAAACTCTATACAACTCTAAACACTATCTAACAGCAGTGTTGGATTCATGGTGGAAGAAACCAAGGCCACTCGGAGAGGTGAAGGAGAGTTTTAGATTTTATTAAGCCAGCTAACTTTATTTTATTAAGCCAGAATCTCCAGATTCTGAGCCCCGAATGGAGGGCAACATGGCCTGTATGGGGTCAGAGTCGGGAAGGGGCCAGGCTGCATACCTGTTTGAGGGCAGGGGGGAAGCCAGGGGGATTGGTCCCATTTGGTGACCTGGTTAGCATTTTAGCTTGTCTCCTGGCAAGAGAGGGCAGTGAATGATTTTCACCTTTTCCTGTTCATTCCCCCCTTTGATGCCCTTTGGGACCTTTTCCCCAGGGGCATCATCTATGTAAGGAATGGGGATTTTGGTATTGATTTGGATTGTTGGTACCCCTTTCGATTGATTAGTTCTAATGGCAATTCCCATGGCCCTGATTGCTAGTGGGAGGAGGCATGGACTGATTAATTCCAAATAAAACCCCACCCACGAGGGTCTTGAACCCTGTAAAGGTGAAGAACTACCCTCCCCATAGACTCTGTGGGTTCCACGGACTCCAGGTTTGCACAGGGACATGGGCAAATTTCTACATTTTTACAAGGTCTTCTATTACCAGATTCTGGTCATCTGCTTGTATGCAGCAGTTAGCAACATTAACCTTCTCGCATACCCCTCCTCCCTCCGCAGCCGGTAAGTAGTTTAGGGCTAATCTATTTTGATAGATGGCATTTAGTATCTGTGTCTGTTGATGCACAAGAAGGGTTATAGATTCAGTTACCTAGGAGGGTGCCCTCTCTTTTATAGCCACTATAGAAGAGTAGTGTGGTTACTGTTTGGTCCACCTTGGTGGTGTGGGTGTATAGATTACACAGATTTCTCCCTTTCCCACACGCCAAAGTCTAATTCAAATGAATCCCACAGCGGACATCCCCATGCTTCGGCCATGAGTAGATCAGCCAGCTCCTGGTTTGTGGATGAAGCAGGGCGGGTTATACATCTCAATGTTAGGAGGGTTGGTAGGGTCAGTTTCAGCTTCTCATGGAGACAAGGCTTTCTTCAGCCTGCTATGGTGAATCCAGGTGGGGACTCCTTCTACCTTGACTGCTGGGCTTAAGATAATTTCTTGTTCCAGCCCTCAGTAATCTTTGCAGATGCTTCTGGATGCCCTCCCAAAAGGAAAAACAAATCAGATACGTTTATTACGCTCTGAGCTAAATAGGCCCAAGTGTTTTTCATCCCTTAGAAAGGAATAATGTCTTATGAGAGTCCCATTGTGTCCAAGTTGAGTCTGGCTAACTTGACAGCTGACAGCATGGCTAGAAGGAGTATTTCCCAGGATCCAGTCCACTTTTTTCTCTAATTGGTTTTCAGGTCCATCTCTCCAAGTTCTGAGCTGAGTATGACCTCCAGGCTGGAAGGGGTCAGGTTACCTGTAGGGAAGGAAGCAATTTTACAAAATAATAGAAAGTGTGTGGTGGAGGTGTTGTGCATACCACTGCGCCTTTAAACGTTGGCTGAGGTCAGGTAGAGGGTTGAGGGAAGCTGCTTGGGAAGGTTTACTGTATACAACCTTATAAGGGCTCAATTTAAGCCCGCTTCTCGGGGGCTACGTGAATTCGAAACAGGGCTAAAGCAACACCTGGTCCCAATGTAGATAAGTTTCCTAACAGTTTTATCATTTGTTTCTCTTTAGAGTCTGGTTCATTTTCTTGAACCTCCACGTTGACTGCAATCTCCATTTCATCTGTAGGTGTTTACTGCTCTGTTGTCACTTTGGACCCTCTGGAAGTCCAAACTTGGAGGTCATCTCCTTCAAGGGGATTTTCACTGTTTTTGAAGTTCTTAGTTCTGGTGGGGGAAAATCTCTACCTAATCAGAAAAGGTGTCTACAAAAATAAAAACAGCAAATATTTAGTTCCCCAGCTTGGGCCATCTGTATGAAATCCACCTGTTAATTTCCAGGGGGTTGTTTACCTTAATATTGGTTCAGGACAGCCTGTCTTGGGATTGTTCTTGAGGCAGGTAACAGTCAGAGCTAACCTCCTGAATGAATTTTTTTTTTTTTTTTTTTAAATTTCTTGTTCTAGTGCCAGGGCCTAATGAACCAAGTCAGGGCATCATTCCTGTAGTGGGTCATTTCTAGGATTCATTTAGGAAGAGCCAGTGCTAGTTGTCACAGGATCAGAACCATTCTAATAAAAGCCATTTACTTTTTAGCTTTTAACTTCTCAAAACCGGAACAATTCCAAGTCTGCTTTTCATTCTTTATCCCTTCTCTCAAATCCTTCTGCCCCAGTTCTACAAAAGTCTTCTGGGTACACATTCAGTGTTTCCTGCCGACATTTCTAATGCCCTCATCAGTGCAATCAGTTCAGTGTTTTATTGAGCTTAGATTCCCCAGCAGGTGGGCTATTGCCTCTACCCAGTCTTGTAAGATTACATATTACACACCCTGCTATCCGAGTCCCTTTTTCCATGTAACTACTTCTGTTCACAAACAACATCTAGTCCACCAGATACAGTTAAACAGGTCAGGTTGGCTGGAAAATACTTGGTCAATGATTTCTACACAATCATGGTAGAAATGGCAGGTTTAGTTGCCCCATAATTCACAGGATAATATTCAGATTGTCCAATAAAATAACCTGCTATTGCCTATCCGTCCTGTTGTGAGCCATAGGCTTCCCTTCTTTAGCAGCAGGGAGACGGCTTAATAGGGACGGGACGAGCTGGCCAGAATGAATTTCTTGGCCTCTTTTCTGAGACGATATTGGTTTCTGTGGGATGGTCAGTTTCGGACCTCGACAGGGGATGCTTGTTGGCTCTCCCCAGAGTTCCACTAGTCCACATGGGGAGGGAGGGGGGTAATACCTGATTGTGGATCTCCTCAGGCCAATATGACTGGTTTCCTGAGTGTGAATCAGTCATAACCAGGCCTGTTCATGAGGGACCTCCATCTGCAGACTTTTGGTTTCAGAAAGCTGTTTGAACATGCAACTCTGGAAGCAGGTCCTGGCCCAGTGAGCGGACCCGTCAGTTACTTTCTTTTCCCTGATGAAGCAGTCCAGGGGTTTCAGGAAGAACTGGGCCTCAGGCTTCCCTGAGATCCCAGTCACCATCACTGTCCCCATTAGAATTTTCAGCTGAGGCCCTGCGGGTAGGGGCAATAGGGATGGCAGAGGTTGATGTCAAATCATGCTGGGCCCCTTACCCCCTGACATTAGTCTTCTGCAGACAACAAAACTTGTTGTTGAGTTGGATGGCTTTTTCTACCAGATCCTCCCCTGAGGTTTGGGCATTTATTTTTTTCAGTGTCCAGGTTTTTGCATAAGCACATGGGTCCTTGCTTAAGGCTCTCATTCCTTTCCAGGTTCCTCCCTGGGGTCCCACAGGCTCATCTCTAGTGGTCTTTTATGAGGACAGTTACAGCCTGAGATTTCTCATGCTCTCGGCTGTTAAATATGTCGAAGGTGATGTCCACCAGCTGGATGGATTCATGCCAATTACCCTGTCCAATTTCTGCCATTTCTTTCTAAAATCCTGGGTGTGCTGGGAGATAAAAAATCATGTTAACCATTTGGATATTTGCTGAGTTCTCAGGATCAAGGTCTGTGTACTTATAGTAAGCCTGGTAGATTCATTTAAAGAACTCAGAGGGGTCCTCAGTTGGCTTCTGCTGAACTTCTTGTACCAGGTTCAAGTTTTTTGGTTTAGGAATTCCCTTTTTCAGACCTCTGAGAATGCACCTTTTATAGTGTTCCAGTGTAGCATAGTGGCTACGAATCGGGCTGCGAACCTCAAGGTCAGCAATTCAAAACTACCAGGTGTTCTATGGGACAAAGAATAGCTCTCCACTCCCACAAA